TCTGTTTGGAGGTAAAGATGTCTTCTTACCACCCTACGCTGACTTCATTATTCGCACAGCTATGGCATCGATTACAGGCAAGCCCCGATGATCGGCCTATACCCTCTAATAAATCATCAGCGCCTGTCGAGTCCCCGGATTTTGTATCTTCGTTCTTCTCTGCTGCGACTGCCTACTGTGGCAACCACGTTACCGAACTATGTTCTGGCCACGCCGACGTTCTCGACACCGCCATATGCTTTCAACACGTCTGTCCCTGCAACTCTCGGTGAAGTAGTACCCTCAGAGCTCGCAACAAGCACGTACAAGCCTATCCTGGTGACGCCAGCTATTGGGGCAACCGAACTTCCAAGGGTTTCGGATGCATATACGCTCATCGATGACTGACTCACAAGGGGATGTTGTGACCTCCACGTACCACATCACGGAACCTTCTGTAGTTCTTGGATTACCGCCAGGATGGAGTGGTTCCCGGACGCTACACGCGCCTTATGTCGAACTTGGATTATCTACACTTGCAGCTGCGTGTGCGATTGCATGGATATTCTAGCACCCAGCTTCATACCGTTGTGATCTTGTACTCTGCGAACGGGCCCTACCCGTAACAGACAGTTCTCAAAACCCAGACATTTTCATCTGCTTACCGTCGTTATCATTGTTTTGGATAGTTGTCGCGCTACTTGGACGTCGGAACTTTGGCTCAGTACATAGTTGTAGGTACATAGGTTAGGTACATCTAGGTGTAATATTAATGCCTTTGTCAGTTGACATCGCAAAACGAGTACATCCGTGCGGTCTAGACTCATAGATGGGTAACCAAATGGTCCAAATGCGGCTACTGGGCAACCTGGTGTGCATCAGACTAGGTCTGACCTGGGGATTACAGTAATCACGCACGGCGGAAGGAAGCCTTCATTATCCGAAGTTTTAGCCTGTATAGTTCCGAAAACCGGATGGCTACAGCGGGCCAAGACCTGCTCAGCTGTCTCTGAGCTTCTGAAGCCAGGCCTAAGCCCGGGCTATGAGGCCAGGCCAACGAAGCTACAGTGCTGTGCTGTGCACTCCGTGATCGTCGTCAGATGCGCAAGACGACTACCTTAGCTGGCAACGGATAATAGGGGCACCCCCAATAATATGTCCCTCCGATTCTCTTTAAAAGCCTCTCCCCTCAGAGTCATCATATCACCGCGATTCCGGCTTGTATCAGTACACTCATCTCCTACAAACCAAACTTGTATTCGCCGTTGTCTTTCGAGTTTCTGCCATGCCTGGCCAACGCATTTCCAAGCCTAACCCGCCCCCTGATCCCTCTCACCTCCCTGATTCCATACTGGATTTACGAGCGCAGCCTCGCACCAAGGCGGTGATAAGCAACACCGAGCTTGATTCCCTTCGTAGTTTCGTGCGCGCTGCGAATTACATCACTGCAGGTAAACTTGAACAGCCCCTATCTCATGTGGTCGCGTCATGTGGCTGAGCTCAGACGTGGTCATTAGCGATGATTTTCTTGAAGGACAATGTCATCCTCGAGAAGGAACTCACCTTCGATGATATAAAGCCCCGCCTGCTCGGGCATTGGGGGACCTGTCCTGGTCTCGTGCTCGTGTATGCCCATCTGAATCGCATCATTAAGAGGACAAACTTGGACTCGTTGCTCGTGGTAGGACCTGGTTAGTAGTACCATTGTCCGTTCTCGTCACATCGGTTCTGACGAACCATATGCCAATCAGGTCATGGTGCACCGGCGGTCCTCTCCTGCTTGTGGCTGGAAGACTCGCTTGCGCCTTTCTGGCCGCTTTACACCCGTGATCGAGCTGGGTTAACGAGGCTCATCACGAAATTCAGCACCCCTGGCGGATTCCCAAGGTTAGCTCTCTTCGTATGCGCAACGCTGTCGCTTGGCTAACCAGGCTCACAGCCATATCAATGCCGAGACTCCTGGTACTATCCACGAGGGCGGAGAGCTAGGTTATGCTCTCAGCGTTGCCTTCGGCGCTGTGATGGATAATCCCAACCTCGTCGTCACCTGCATCGTCGGCGATGGAGAAGCGGAGACTGGACCCACTGCGACCGCGTGGCATGGATTCAAGTACATCGATCCTGCCGAGTCGGGCGCCGTACTGCCCATCGTGCATGTCAATGGGTTCAAGATTTCGGAGCGTACCATCTACGGGTGTATGGACGACAAGGAAATGATTGCTTTGTTCAGGTTGGTGAATGTATGTATGCACGTAAGTTCGTGTATCACTGACCCCCCCTGCTTAGCGGTTACGGCTACCAAGTGCGCATAGTTGAAGACTTGGACAATATCGACCAGGATCTCGCAGACGCTCTAGAATGGGCCCTCAGCGAGATCTCTCATATCCAGCACGCGGCACGCTCCGGGAATCCCATCGTCAAACCTCGCTGGCCCGTCCTTATTCTGCGCACTCCGAAAGGCTGGACTGGTCCCAAGCAACTGAACGGCGAGTACATCGAAGGATCGTTCCACTCACACCAAGTACCACTTCCCGAGGCCAAGACTTCGGAAGAGCAGCTCAAGATGCTGCAGGTTGGTTGACCAGCTACCATCCTCGGGAACTGTTCACTATCGGTGGCTCGGAAGGCAGACTTGATGGCCAACCTACGGAGGATGTGCTCAGGATTGTCCCTGACAAAAAGGAGAAGAGGCTTGGCATGAGGAAGGAGGCTTATGCTGCCTTCCAGCCGCTCACTGTTCCCGCATGGATGCCGTTTGGTGTTCAACGCGGTAGCGAAGCAAGCTGCATGAAGACGATTGGCAGTTACCTTCGCGAGGTTATCAAGAAGTGAGCATCGTACATGCTGTTTTCACTTCGGGAGCTTACACTTGCACTAGAAATCCGTCTAACTTCAGGATATTCTCTCCTGACGAGTTGGTTTCGAATAAGCTGGATGCTGTATTTGATGTTACCGGGCGTAACTTCCAGTGGGACGTCGCTTGCCGTGCGCAGGGAGGACGTGTCATTGAAATCCTTTCGGAGCACACCTGCCAGGGCATGCTACAAGGTTACACGCTGACCGGGAGGACGGCCTTGTTCCCGACTTATGAGGCTTTCCTGGGTATCGTGCATACCATGATGGTTCAGTACAGCAAGTTCACGAAGATGGTTCGTGGTGTTCTCTGTACATCTTCTGTCCTGTGTTTCATTTTCCCTCATAGGCGTTCGAGACCGATTGGCGCCAAGATATCGGCTCTGTCAACTACCTTGAAACGTCCACATGGACTAGGCAGGAGCACAATGGCTTTTCGCACCAAAACCCGTCTTTCATCGGTGCCGTCCTTAATCTAAAGCCGATGCTTGCGCGGGTTTATCTTCCACCCGATGCTAACTGCTTCCTGTCTACACTGGCGCATTGTTTGAGGGCCAAGAACTACATCAACCTGATGGTCGGGAGCAAGCAGCCGACCTCAGTGTGGTTGAGTCCAGAGGAGGCGAATCGCGTACGTGTTTTTTTTTTCGAGCTACTGTCGAACTCAGTCAACTGACGTACCAAAAGCACTGCGTGGCCGGTGCATCTGTTTGGAAGTTTGCGAGCGTGGATGACGGAGTGGACCCTGATGTGTAAGCAACAATTCAGCAGTCCAGGACCGACGACTCGCATCTGAGACACCTTTAGCGTCCTGGTCGGCATCGGAACGGAGGTCACTTTCGAGGTTATTGCAGCCGCTGCTCTGCTTCGCAAGCTTGTCCCGGCGCTCCGCGTCCGTGTCGTAAATGTAACGGACCTGATGATTCTCAGTTCGAATGGAAGTCACCCTCACGCGCTGAGTGAGGAGGACTTCGATACACTGTTCACCAAGGATAGGCCCATCATCGTGAACTACCACGGCTATCCGATCGAGGTGAAAGGCCTGGTCTTGGGCAGGCCGGGTATGGAAAGGATGAGAATCGAAGGGTCAGTCGTCCCCTCTTCCCTGACATGTTTCCTGGCTGACAGTGATCGACAGGTATCGCGAGGAAGGAACGACGACGTCTCCTTTTGATGTTTGTGATCCCGAATCGGGCGTGTTTTTGCCCTTTGCTGAAAAGATTCGTAGATGCTGCTTTGCAACAATGTCTCGAGATATCACGTTGCTGCTTCCGCTGTTCGTGGTGGCGCGTTGTTCAATGCGAAGGTCTCGACGGAGGCACACGAGCTGGCTAGCTATATCATGCATCTGGCGCAAAAAGACAAGGAGTACATTTACCGCGAGGGCCGAGGTGGGTTAACCGCCGTGTGTCACCTCACGATGGACTTACTAACGGCAGTTGCAATCAGATCCGGATGGCACATTCGATACGCCCGTCTTTGGAGATGTGAAAAAGTAATAAGATCAGTGGGAATCCCAGGCTGTTGAAAAGTTCAAACCAGTGTACGTTACATGAGAACCAGTGTACCTTCTAGTCCTGTATCAAAGAGTGACAGCTCAACTTCGTGAAATAAGGGGCATTACTATGTTTCACGCCCACTCGAAGTATGCTGGTCAGAATTTTTGTCAGAGAACAAATACCTTAGAACTGTATGAGTGAAAAAACCGACGGGAACGTGATGGGCGATGGGGATGAATCTGATAGCTCTAAGCTGATCTCACCTAGCAAACATGTTGTAGGTCCATGTCACGCTCCCCCTTCCCCCAACAGCTGCACTCACCTCTTTGAAGATCTAACTCGACGCATCTGATAAAGCTTCTCGGAGAATTTTTTTTAATAGCATCAGAGGGATATATTCATGCTGGGTGCAACTTTGTGTACCATTTGGTGTTCTCTGCGTGACTGCAAATGTGATCCACCTTGGATCACGCCTATTTAGTTGATTTACCAGACAAGTTCTGCATGGATTTTTTCAAAAAAAAAAAAACAGACAGCCCTCTAGAATATCATTTTAATTGATCTATATACGATAGCACGAAGCGCTACGTTCAGTTGTGCTCACGCTGTGCTCGGTGTCTGAACAGTCCGAAGTGATGGTAAAATATAGTACAATGAGAGAGAAAAAGGCGACAGGCCTGGGACTCGAACCCAGAGTCTCTAGCGAACAGGTAACGTGACCAACTGGTCAGTACCGGAAACTAGCGCGTTACCATTACGCCAACCCGCCTTCAGCAACGGCTGTACAGCGACATTCAATATGCGTTTCGTGGTGTTTTACCACGCCACCTACAGGCTCTCCTGTTAGCGCGCCCTTGTCTAAGTTGTCTTCCCTCACCTGTTATTTGTTCACTTGATAGAGTCCTCCTAATTTCTCTGTACCCGTGCTCTCGAGGAGGTTGCCATGTCATTCTTTGCAACTGCCACGTCGACGACGGCGCCAGCGGGAGCGACAATTGACAAGGACATCGAGGTTTCCGAGCCCCCAAGCGATTCCATCTCTTCCCTTGCCTTCTCTTCGGCGGCGGACTATCTGGCAGTGGGAAGCTGGGATAATAATGTGAGAATTCTAGATGAATTACCGAGATCACATCTGTTATCGACGCGTTAAAACAAGGTCCGTCTGTACGAAGTTGGCGCTGGAGGACAAACACAGGGGAAGGCCATGTACTCCCACCAAGGGCCCGTACTGAGCGTTTGTTGGAACAAGGTGCACGCTCTACCATAGTTTTTTTTTTTCAAATGTGACTTTCATCTAAATCACTTACCGAGTAGGACGGTAACAAAGTCATATCTGGTGGCGCCGACAACGCTGCACGCATGTTCGACATTACCAACGGACAAACAACGCAAGTAGCTCAGCACGATGCACCCATAAAAGTCGTCAAGTGGGTAGAGACGCCGCAAGGCGGCATTCTGGCTACTGGTAGTTGGGACAAGACGATCAAGGTTCGTGCACACGGGATTGCGCACTGGAAAAACGCCGCTGATGCCCCAGCGTTGCCGCGCTCGTTTTCACAATAGTATTGGGACCTTCGGACACCCAATCCCGTAGCCACAGTGCAATTACCGGAGCGTTGTTACAGCATGGACGTGCAATATCCTCTGCTTGTTGTTGGCACCGCGGAACGCCACATTCAAATATACAATTTGACGAATCCGAACACGCCTTACAAGGTCTTGTTCCAAGGTCATGTCCGCGTTTGATTCGCACACTCAAACGTTGTTTTGCGCAGACCATAACATCGCCTTTGAAGTGGCAGACACGTGTTGTCTCGTGCTTTACCAACTCCGCCAGTAGTGGCTTTGCAGTTGGCAGTATCGAGGGACGCGTAGCCATCCAGTACGTCTTTCACGTGATTGACCACTCTGTGTGACTTTGGCTTATGACATCTGTGCAGATACGTCGAAGAGAAGGACAATTCGTGAGTGTGTCCCCACCAATGCAATGGTGTAAATGCTGATGTTGCTGATTAGCAACAATTTCTCGTTTAAATGCCATCGTAGAGACCAGACTCCGAGCGCAAAAGATCAGTCTTTGGTGTATGCCGTGAATGACATCTCGTTCCACCCTGTCCATGGAACTTTCTCCACTTGTGGTGAGCAATCGCCGTCGGCAATGTTTTCTTGATTTCGCTTACATATCTACGCGTAGGGTCTGACGGCACCATTCACTTCTGGGACAAGGATGCCCGCACGCGGCTAAAGAGTATGTTTTCATGTATTTCAAGTATGTTCGATATGACTCTTATACGCATGTTGTTCAGCCTTTGAGGCCGCGCAAGGTCCGATCAGCGCCACGACCTTCAACCGCAACGGCACCATATTTGCGTATGCCGTCTCCTATGACTGGTCCAAAGGGCACAGCGGAATGACTCCGGGACACCCCAACAAGCTCATGTTGCATGCGTGCAAAGACGAGGAGGTGAAGCGGCGACCAAAAAAAGTGTGATTCTCCATGCTACCGTCTCGTCCGATACATTATTTTACCATGAGATTGTAAATACGTTGACCGTCCTTGTTGAATTTTTTTTATTAGCAACACCATTGTCACACTTATGCGATTCATCATAGGGCGCGGGTTTCTTCTCGCCCTTTTTTTCATGGAGATTAGGTCCCGCACTCGCATAGAAAAACCAGAGAATACCATCAGCCCCAGAAATCATGTGGGTCCTCGTGCCCCCAATTGTGCCTACATAGGCACCGCGCTCTGAGCTCGTGTTTGCAAAATATTACCCTACGAGAGCTCGGTAAGGTCACTCCTGGCGCATTAATGTTGACTTGCTGCGTGTTCCAGGTATCGAAAGCGTTGGGGAAGTGTGAAGATGCACGGAGGGGGACGGTCGGTATGACCATGATGGTGCGCATTCATTTCGGCGCTCACTGGCACTGGTGCACTCATTCTCTAGATCTCCCACTTCCAACGGTATACGTACACGCCGTGAATCGACCACAGGGGATTTTGCAGCATTCACGGTTGCGCCCCATCCTCAAACATGATGCATGATGCATGAACTGAGTTTAGTTCGCCGCTATTCCAAATATCTATGACTCGGGATACCTCACAGCTGTCACGGTGCGCAGTGCGCTTCTCTCTGCATACAGGGTACCCCAACTTGTCTTCAAAGTTCAACAAGGAAATCCGCTCTTCGTCGGGACCACCAGCGTTGGGAGGACAAGAGGATTAATCTGGTTGGCTGCCCTATGTCAGCAGGGCCGAGCCTGAGTCATTAGCATGGTTGGACAATGCAAATACTCAGTGCACTCGGCATTCTGGAAACCCGACGTCACGCTGCAGATGGGGAGGTGAGTTCCAGGAGGCTGGTGAAGCTTTGAAGCACGGAAGTGAACAAACCCCGTGGCAAAGTCGACTGCGTCGACATAACTTATGTAGAACCGTGTACCAATATTGCATATATGATAATATAATGTCACATTTCGTCTTCCTTACAGTAGTTCCGACCCAAGGCTACGGCTACGGTGCGTGATCAGCTGTAGAGTATATGTACTTCCAGATCAGGTGTGGCATGATGCGTCACCACGAAACCCCTACAAAGGGGCTCATGATGTCTTCTCCTTCTTCACCTCTAGCAAGGGATCAAGGGACGAGTCTGGCTGACGATACGAGCCACCGACACGATCCGCCCAGGTAAAGTACTGGTGCACAGGGTTTAACAACGCAGAGGGAGTGAATGCAACCAGGCTATGCGTACCTGACCATAGTTTACCGTGAAATAGAGATGGTGCAGGGTATGGTGTGCGGGACCATTAATGACATGCTCAAGTGGATGTCCGGTGATCATATCTGAATCGTGAATCTGTCCCAAGCCGATGCTCAACGTCAGAATTTTATCAGGGAACGCAGGGCTTACGAATATGCTCCAAAAGTTTACGAAGACAAAAAGGGCGAGGTATAACCATCGGTGAAGGGGGAAGATGAAGATGAACAAGTGATATGGCACGGATTGCAGGTATCCATCCACGGGGTGGAATGCATGCGATGCGAAGGGGGTCGGTACTGGTGTAGAGATGTTAGTTTATAAAAATGAGGAGAGACTATATGTGACATACTTATCCATTTGTGGTGTGGCTTATGGAAGGTCTTGTAAATGCTGGGATGGTGCAGAATGCGATGAACCCAATATATGGCATAGTCCGTGAAAAGTAGGAAGCTGAGTACTTGTGAGGGCAAGATTCTTAATATGAATGGAAAAGACGCGCACAAGGGTATTGACAAGACGAGATAAATCCACCCGTATTCGTCTACGTTGTCGTAGAGTCGAGAATATCCCATGACCTCCGCTTGGAACCATGGAAGCGTTAATAGGGTCATGCCTGGGAAGGCGTATAAGCTGGTTTGAATCTCCATCTTGATCTGGTCTTTTAGGAAACGTGGATGCCGCATCATATCATGGTTGAATATAAATTGGAACGAGAGGCCAGCGAAGATGAAGTAAAGGAGATGAATGCCGAGGAGAGTTATAGCGCTCAAGGACAGCAATTGCCTTGGGATATAATCCCGTGCCCATGCAGACTGGGGTGCGACTGATATTGTCGAGAAATTAGCAGATGAGAGGGGCTGTGAAGAAGTGTCTACAAAATGGTCGTTAAGTGGGACGAGACGAGCCCAAACATTGTCGAGGAGATACTCGTCAACGAAGTGGAGAATGAGATCCATGACGGCGGGAACAAGTACCGTGGACGATCTCCTTCACTGACACAGAAATTGGCGGTCACCGAAAGTGTTTACAACATCGGACTTTTATACGATAATTTACATGTGTCCGTAGATATCAGGCCACTTTTTTTTCGGCACCGTGGTGAACGAATTTATGATTACATGGGTCAAAGTACGTCAGCACATACTAACTTTACATACTGTAGTTTCACGTGCCAGATAGGTCACCCAGCCACTCTCCCTTAACTATTCTAATCTCATCGCTCAGGAGTCAGATATGGGTGCATAGCGCAGTGGTAGCGCGCATGCTTTGCAAGTGTTTATGTAACGAACTTACATAATCGATTCTGTATGAGGTCCAGGGTTCAATCCCCTGTGCATCCAGTTTTTGTTTATTTGTTGCTGTACGGCGACTAACAACATCAAGTTCGATTTCCCACAGTAACACACGTTCATCATCAACCATCGTGAGTGGCAGACAAAGAAACCTGCAACTCAGGAGATTACTTCGTGGATGGTGGGCGTCACATTTATCCTCCTGCTCTTCGGGATTGTTGGGTTTGGATCGAGTATACATTCCGCTTTTCAGGGGCGTTCTCTTGTTGAACAATTCTGGAAGAGCCTAACACGCGGTGAGCATGATAGCTTATTACGAATGGTAACATATTTTTGTGACCAAGTAACCAATAACACTCTTCCGATCCCCAAAGCAACTTACCCCGAGTGCAATTCAGCAGCAGCTTCGGCCTGCGGAACTTGCTGATCATCACCAGATCATCTCACAGGAAACACTGCTGTTGCGAACGTTCCGCTCTTATCATCGAGCGAAGCTCAACAACGCCCTTCTAGTCAAATGACACCGAAATTCGCGAGGCTCTTCTGATTTCCGTCGGACTTCGTTTCGTTTCTCGAACAAGCACAAGTCGAAAGCTTTTCTTGTGTATAGTCCATTCGACACTTGCTCTGTCGGAAAGGTGTCGCTTTCTTTGAATTTCTTCCGTGGAATGTCATATCCCAGCCACGGGCTAAACTCGTGTTTGCCGCCAACGAAC